GAAAGTGAATGCACTTGTTAGCAAAGTATCTAATTAAAAGCATTCTTATTCATTTACTGTTTTCTTAAGAATATGAAAAGAATAATAGCAGCCACAATTCCCAAAATTATGCCAAATGAAGAAATCAGTCTAGTTAGCCATTGGAGGACTAAGTTTTTCCTAACCATTTAATTGGAGAAACTGAGGAACTGGTTCTTGATTCATTCCATAATTTTATTAAGTTTGATTCTTTCTTATACATTTTTTTCAACACAAGTAGGTGAGGTAATTTCAATCTTCATAATGATCCATCTTGAAGAAACACTTGGATGGATTTCTTAGGATCTATAGAATATTCCATGGATAAGTCATTAAAACGAACAATTACTTCTTATCAAATGTTGCACTATGGGACCAGCTGGATTTATTTTCTGCATGTTCCAGTAAATGGAGAGAAATAATAACATTAATTTCTTTTTCATAAAAAAAATTAACAAGGGTCAGTAGTAATCCAAGAAAATAGAGTACTTAAAATAGCAGTAAAGATGTTTTGGTGTCTCGTATCAATGTCTAAATTCTAAGCATTCTCTCTCTCTCTCTCTCTCTCTCTCTCTCTCTCACACACACACACACACACACACACACACACACACACATTCTATTTTATTAATGCTTATATATAATATTTAACAATGTCTGATATATATATCAGACTCTCCTGACTCTCCCCTTCTTTGAATATTAAAATGCAGTATAATAAATGCAAACAAAAGGCAAAGAAAAAAAAATCTTCATCCAATCTATGCCTAGCTTCATAGCCATCAAATATTAGACACCACTCCTTCAAAAAAGTATTTTATAATATGTAGGAAACTATGAAGCACTGCTATTCAAATCGTTAAAGCAGCCACAGCTTTTTCATTGCTCAAGGAAGTATTTTGTACATTCCCAAAGGTGCTTTTTCATGAGGCAACTGGACTTTCTTTTTTCTCTTTGAAGACATTTCGCTTCTCATCCAAGAAGCTTCTTCGGCAGTCCAGATTTCTATTACTGTTACTAATATCTTAATCAGGATTTTTGGGCAGACATATTATTCTGCCTCAACTATCACACCTCAATTTCTATCACACTCCTCCAGCCCACCCGACCTTTTTCTCCTGGGATTCTCCATTCTTCAACCTTTCAGAAAGTGCTTTTGGAAGCCAGGATCATACTACCTAATGTACATATGATCTACACCTATAGGTCTACTTATCTACCGCATGTACGGACATACCTGGTCAGTGCTCAACTTACTGAATTTTGCATGCAGACTTTAAAACAAATTTGAAATTGAAACTCTAATGTCATCTCACTTTCATATAACGTAAGGAGGTTTTCAGACCACATTGTCTACCATGTGTCAAAAAACAAACAAACACCTAGGGCATATAAAATGCACCTCAAATGGTTAAGTAGTAGATTTAACCAGCTTAAATACAAACACCAAGAGAAAATAATGAAGGGATAAAACCTGAAATAATTACCAAATGTCATTTAAGACTATTGTTACAGTCTATCAATTTTGAATATTACAAACGTGCAAATGCCTTAGTAGAACATGTTGCCTGATTAGCTGGCAAAATGACCATCCTCTAAGCTTTCTAAGAAATAATTATTTAGGATTTAGGCACTTGTCAGTCATGTTTCAGTTGTAATATCTTCTGACTCAGAATAACATTTAATCTAAGGATCTCTTCAGCCAGAATCGATGCCTAGAATTCTGATGATTGCAAAGGAAGTTGTGTTCTTACAAAAACATGCTTCATTTTGTTGAATCAGTCAAATATGAAATTTACAATCAGGAATAGTGTCAAAATGATACTGGAATATGTAGTCCCAAGGCTCAAAGGTGTCCAACTTGCTACAGAAGCAGAGAACAACAAGTAATGCAAGTGCTTATGACAATGTCTGGATTAAAGCAAACGGTGTCCAGCAGATGATGGGCTAGGAAGCAAACAAAATGTGTACTGGGAGAAAACAACTAAAAATTTCCTAGTTTACATCTATCTGCGCACTTTTGTCCAATTATTACATTTTTTCTAATTTCCATTTTGTACATTGTTTTTATTAATACATTTATTTTTAAATTCTTTTTAGTTCAGTCTATCTCCAACTTATTTTTGCCACAATAATTTGCAAGGAATTGCTTTTTAAGACTTCTTGAACTCACATGTATGTTGATGTTTCTGTTCTAAACATCAGGCTTGCCTTGATTCAGAAATCTAACACAGCACCCTGTTATCTTGGCAGCATCAAGTTTTCCTTTTCTCACATCAGCAGCTAGTCATCCTGTTTGCTTTAACTCAGCCATGTCATAAGCACTAGTATTACTTGTCCTTGTTGTTTTTCCCCCAGTAGTTCGCTGGACCCCCTTTCAGGCTTGGGAGTTCATCTTCCATTATAATTTTGACACAATCCTGGTTATAAATGGTGATTTAGTTTTATTGGTCATTGAGTGGACCACCATTTCCTTTCCAGTGCATCTAGGTAAGTGTGTTCCCTTGGTTATTAACCTGCCTGTGATAAATTTACACTCCAGGTGATATAGGTGATACCACCAATGGGATGTTAAAGTCCTAACTCCATCAAAAGTAGTGATTGATGAAGTTATATATTTAACATGCACTTTCCTCTAGTACATGCATGTTATTCCCCTTTTAAAGAATCACAGACTGAAAGGTGCAAACTTGAGATTAGAAATAATTGAAACTCCAGCAAGTATTTTCCTTCTTCCAAATTGTCCAGCCATGTTTCCAATGATGAGTTTGAGTCCTTATTGCATCATATAGTGTCATATTTAGTTTTGCCACAATGTAATTTGATACAGTATATTCTTAATTTAAAAAAAAATTGAAGGAGGGAAAAAGAAACCTTATGATGTCTAAGATTCAAATAGTCCAGTTTTATTTTAGTGATTGGCCAGGGAAATACTCTTGGAAACCTTTCAACTGGAATATGAAGACAGTAGAAAGAATAGAATAGAATAGAATAGAATAGAATAGAATAGAATAGAATAGAATAGAATAGAATAGAATAGAATAGAATCTGGAAGGGACCTTGGAGGTCTTCTAGTCCAGCCCCCCCACCCCGCTCAAGCAGGAGAAGCTATACCATCTCAGACAAGTAACTGTCCAGCCTCTTCTTAAAAACCTCCAGTGATGGAGCACCCATGATTTCTGAAGGCAAGCTGTTCCACTGGTTAATCGTCCTGTCAGCAAGTTTCTCCTTAATTCCAGATTGCTTCTCTCTTTGATCAGTTTCCAACTATCTATTCCAACTGCCCTCTGGTGTTTTGGAGAATAGTTTGACCCCCTCTTCTCTTGGCAGCCCCTCAAATACTGGAATACTACTATCATGTACCAGTAGCTTTTTCCATTTTTAGATCAAAGCAGTCTTCTGTTAGTAATAGGCTTTTCCTTATTCAGAAGTGCCTCCTGTTTATTTTGCCCACTTCACATTTAGTGATTTCCAGCAGGAGTGGCTGGATGATCTGTATTGCAGCTAAAATACAAGCAGCTTTGCAACTTCTTAAATACTCTCAAATTATATTTTAACATAAACTTTCTAACTTCCACTCTATCAGAGGTATAATCCTCACTTGCGTGTACTCAAACACACATTTGAGCAGTAAAAAGTTAGATTAGCTAAAAATGAAATATGAGATGGTGGCAATTCAATTGCAGTTTAATATAGCCCAAATAAGACCTAAACCGTTGATGTTATGAAGGCAAGGAACACTTGACTCAAAATATAAGTTCCTTTCAAGGAATGTTCTGGGGAACATAAGCCAGTACTCACTGATATTCATAGTTGTTTCTCCTCCTTGCCTAATTTGCTTTACAAGTAAAAACTTGTAGGCACGACCAGAAGCCTTTGGAAGATTGTATTAATTATGTTTATTAATGATAATAAATCTCATCATATGCCATCTGCAGGCTTATTAAACTCTGCAATCCTGCAGTGATGCAAGCAAAAACTTCTACCCGTTGTATAGTTTGCAAGAGACTATGGGAATTGGAAGGAAGGAAGGAAGGGAGGGAAGGAAGGAAGGGAAGTCCCATGAGTTGGCTAACTCCTCACAAATCCTGAATCCTTTCCCAATTCTTCCGCGGATCCTTTCCTCTTACCACGGATCTGCCTTATCGCACGGCTTCCTAACTCAGTCCGCGTATCAGTTTGCAGCATCTACCCATCTTTGCAAGGGTTTATTTCTAAAAGCGATGAGGCAGGCGCCGAATCGCAAATTTACATTTCTAAAAATGTGCCTTTTCTCACCCTTCCCAGGCCTGCTCGCAAAGGCATTTCATTTGTTGGGAACAAAGGTAAATGCGGCTTTCTGGGAGGGAGAGCGAGCAAGCAAGCAAACAAAAAGGGGACCTATCCGTTGCAGCAATGAAAAAAACCACAACACCCCATCTTGCAACGGAATCGTGAGCGCAGCCTTCGCTTTCCCTTGATTTTGCACAAGCCCGGCTTCTCTGCGCTTACGCGAGCGAGGAAGCGTACCAGCATTGGTACGGGCAGCATTGCGGCCGCGAAGGAATGGGAAAGATGAGAAGCCAGGGATTTCGGCCCTTCTTCTGAGAAAGGACCTTCCAACTGAATGATTTGCCTTGGAGCCTCAAAGGAGAAAAGCGGGAGCGAAGTCACGGAGGATAGAAATGCTCCAAGGGAGCCTCCGCCTCCGTTACCAACAGGGTCCGGGCGGGAGAGAGAGGCTGCTGAGGCTCCTCTGGGCAAGAGCCACAAGGCGAGGATGCGAGCCTTGCTGCAGCAGGAGAGGGGAAAAACCGTGAGCAGCGCCAGGGCTCCCCCTTCGCCGCGCGACCCCGCGCGCCTCCTCTCCGTCACCACCGCCGGCAGCTCAGCCGGCCACGCTTTTCTCTCTTGCCCCCCCCCCCACACACACTCTCATCGGTGCCGCTCGTCGGCCGCGCGCCTGCGCGAGCCCCCCCCCCAGCTTAGTCTTTTCTCTCGACCTGCTGTCTCTCTGTCTGTCTTGTCTGTTTTCCTTCGGTTTCGCAGAGCCTCCTGCATCAGCGCCGGGCATGGGCAGCGAGAGCGCGCGCAGGAGCAGTCCGGGCTCCGCCGCTCCCCCGTGCACCCGCTCTTGCTCCTGCTGTACATCTTGCCCTGTTGCCCCCAGGGCGGCGCCTCGGCTGCGCTCCCGCCTTTTCCCACCGAGGACGGGTGAGTGAATGAGTGGCTCCTCCTTCGGAGCACCTGCTCTCTCTCTCTCTTCTCCCGGCGGCGGGGTGGATCGGCGGACCGTTCGCGCGCTCTCTTGGTATTCGCAGGAATTGGTGCCTGTGGCGACTGTGGTGGGAAACGGGGGGTGCGGGAGCAGCCGTCCCTCCTACCGCAGCGAGAGGCGCCTTGCTTTTGCTTCGCGCCTGGATGGCTTCCTCGTCCTTTCCCTGAGAGGACCGGCGGGGACTTCTTGAAGGAAGGAGTAGTGGGGAAGGAGTAGAAGGAACGAAGGAACGAAGGAAGGAAGGAAGGCTTTCCCAGAAATGGAGATTAAAAGCACCAGCTCGAACCTGGAAGACCCAGCTCTCCAGAAATCTCCAGAGCGCTGCCCTTTGAACCACCTTTTCTTTTGCACGTGTCCCATCTGACCGCCTCTCCGCGCGAGTTCCCTCGCGTGTTGGTCACCGAGGGCGATCCCCGGCCCCTGTAGCCCTCCTCGAGCCTTCTATCAGCCCCCTCCGGTGAGTCCTTTCTGAACCGTCCCCACAAACCGGTATTCCATTCCGCTGTTTTTAGGACATTTTTTTTTAAACTTCTGAGAGGCTGTTTTATTTTATAAGGAGCCGTTGAACAGAGGCTGGAGACTCCCTCCTCCCCCCGCTCTCCGTTACTCCTGCCTGAGCAGCCTTCTCCTCTTTCCCTCCTGCTTCTCGCCGTACAAAGAAGTCTTTAAAAAGAGATCCCTGCTTGCCCGCTAGCTTGCTGGGGTTGTGCCAGTCCTTCTCCAGCGAGCGCTGGACCTTTTCTCTGGACAGAGCAAAGAATCTGAGCTACACAGAAGGAGAGGGCACACGGCCCGCCTGGTTCCCAAGGGTTTTTGTAATGAGGCTTTGGCATAGGTAAGTGTCCCCTCAGCTTTCCGGAGAGAACTGCAGAAAGGCAACCCAAATGAACTTGGTTGGGAAAATCGGCTTTCCTTTTTGATGTCTTGTTCTCTTTCTTTGTGTTCTTCACTGGGTTACCAGCATGCTTTGTGATTCCCTTTATTCCACAGTGAGCTGTGTAGTATTTTCAGAGTATTTTTGCTATTTCAGTAGTTCTCCTGGAAGGTTGTTATGACAGCAGTCCTCCTCCCCCCCCTCCCACCCCCATCACTACTTCTTATCCCCACTGCCTAGATTAGGGATAAAAGACGTGGAGCTGATTGCCAACGTGCTTATACTCTTGTGATTTTTAAAATTATATGTGCTATGTATACGGATACACACATATACACATCTGAATCCTATTTTTCTTCTACCACTGTTTGGAGCTTTGCAATGTATCCTTTAACATTCTTTTGTAGAGTTTTTGTACTGAATGTCATATTGAATTTGGAAGTATGTGAAGAAGATCTTTAATTCTGTAAATGATATTACTCTTTTGAAGATTTTGGATGTATGTGTTTGGATGTGTGTGTATATATGTGTGTGTGTGTATGCATGTGTGTGTGTGTACAGATGATAGATATAGATATATATGACAGTTTTAAAGATTTTACTCTGGAGAGTTTCACAAGATTAAGGGATGTGTTTTTTTGGATGCTAGGAGCGGTCTCTAGGATTGTAGATATTAATTTTAAAGTAGGTGCAGCAGGTTTGGGACATCTACTAAGGATTGTAGGAATCCAGCTAACAATGGGTAATAATTCAGGGTTAATAGTAGTTTAAAATGCTCTATAGAGATAAATGAACCTCGAATGACATTACTATTGATATTTGTGTATTGTGATACTCCCTGTTGCAACAAGATACATTCAGAACTGTTGCTCTGGTTTCTTACATTTTCCCTCCCCCTGCTTTATTTTAAGGGACAAATATGAAATATGTATAAATACATGTTTTCTTGCGGGTTAGAAAACACTAAAAAGAATCTTTTTTTTTTTTTAAAAAAAAGGCATTTTCCTTTTATGCAGCAACATACTTGAATAGCAGATTTTAAATAAGTGTAAGAACACTGGATGTTACTTCCTTTTCAGATCTGTTGCACTAATACCTTTTGAGTTCTTAACACTTGCATTTTAATAAGTTTACTTTATTTTAGGTAAGATTTGTTTTATACAAGTTAATAAATATCTACAATGAGAAAAATGGAGCCAAAAATCAACTCATGGCAATATAGAGAGTGAAAAAATGTATCCAATGATCTTTAACTTAGGTGAATTAACATGATATGTGAACTGGAATGTTGATAAGATAAATGAAGTTAATTCAGATATTTGTAATTGGGCTTGCCATAATTGGGAAGTAAATCAATTAGAGATTTTGTTCTCTTTGTTGAACTATTATCAGAAAAAGGCACTATGAAACAGAAGCTAATCTTGTATTATCAAATACAGGATATTGCTTATTTAAGGGGGAAAATACACCATGTTGATGTCACTAGTACATCATTAGCCTTTCAGTCAATGTAGAAGTCTTCAGTGTGAGACAGTCAGCTACCTGATGTCTTGTAACCACATTTCTGTGCACATGTACTCAAAAAAGAATTTTTTAGATCCATTGGATTAAAACTAGAGTGAAAATAGAGAAAGTATTTGAATATTATCTCCCCACTTGAGGAGGTGAGTCATGTTGTCAAAGTAATCCCTTTTAAAGGATGGACCAGCCAACCTGTTACAATAAGATGTATCATAATGAAGCAACTTTGGGTGTAGTCTTGTTCTCTCACACATGTTTATACATTTTATGTATAAAATTTGCATAGCAACAAAATAGGAAGTCAGACTGATGTGGCTAAAGCAGGTAAGTATCCTGCTTTGAGAATGGGGTGACATACAAGTTTAATAAATTATATATAGATACTGGTATTTTAATATGGAATGTGTCCTTCTCACTAATAAAAGGGGAAAGATAAATTTTAATATGGATGGAAATCAGTCTTAGAATGTAGATATAACAGATTCTTCAGTCTTAAAATTATTTGATGAGCATGGGGATATCCATGTATACTTTCAGGATGCATTTTCCTTTATTGTTTAATTTACATAAAAATTGGACATTTGGCAATATATATCTAACTGACTTAGAAGCAATCATGTGAAGTAAGATAGCCTGAGAAATCATGCATGCCCAAGGTCAATTAGGAAGTATCATGATTGAATGGATATCTGAATTGAAGTATTTCAGATGTCTCATATGGTTTATGTATTAGAATTGCAAATATGATGAAAAAGCACATATAATGATGAATAAAGCATATAGCCATTAATCTTAATGCTAGTTAATGCTACCATCAATCATGAAAATATAAATTGAAAGGAGAAACATTTTATATGATACTACAAGATGGGAATAGAAGTCATTTAAAAACATTAGAATGTTTCCATTTCCAAATGTTGATTTTAAAAAAAAATGTCTGGAGTTCAATAAAACCGTAAACTGCACAATATGCACTTCTGTGGTTAGATAAAAATGTAGTAGAGCAGGGGTGAGCAATCTACAGGTCATACCTAGCCCCAAGCACCTGAGTTGTGTTCATTAACATTACGGGCTAGTTCTGCCAAAATATCATCAGAAGAACTGTGTTGTTTTTTTTCTCTTTCTTTCTCATGATAAAAGTAGAAATAGGAGCAGAATGTCTTATCTTTTTCAGTGACTTGCTAACTGGTCAGCCTTTGATTCAAAGAAAGTTTCACACTCTTGCAAAAGTAGATACTTTATAGGATATGATAAAAACTAAAATATAATGGGAAAAAATTAAATGAGAAAAGTCAGATTACATCTAAAATAGACCAAGGCAACAATTTGAAAGCGATGGTAGATAAGAGAATCACACCAGTCCTTTTCTACCCATATTTTCCAAATGTATGGACTATATAGATCCCATCTGTAACTGAGAAATAACTTTAAAGCATTTCAAGGGTTATTTGCAAATTTTATTCCATTCATAAAATTAGAATGATAGTAGTTTCAACTATGCATTTAAAAAAGCTATATGATCTTCCACATTTAATTCACCTCTTTTATTTCCGGTTTTTGCTTGGTCTGTACTCAAGAAGAATTAAAAAAAAATGTTTTTTTTAAAAATGGAGCTCTTTAAATATATTACATTAAATATATCTTTTAAAATATATTCATCTATTTAAAATCTTTTTCACTCTAAATGTACTTACATCACAGTTTTAATAAAAAGCAAAGGTTATATTCATAATCTCAAGTGAATCAAATTCCTTATCAAAACTGTTGGACTTGGATTGGATATCATAAATCTGCATAATATATGCTCAGTAAGCTGTTAAACTTTCTGGGGAAAAAAATCAGGACGTTTATATTGAAATCAAGGGTGAAAACAAGCAGTCTTCTGCTATGAGTATTTGGGCCAGCTTATTTCTAGGCATATCTCAAATATCAAAATCTCCCCATTTTAAATATACACTTTAGTGTAAAGATATATTTATGGATATTAATAAAGAGCCAAAATATCTGGCAGCCTTATGGAATGAGTCTTAAATTTAATTTGTAGCCTTAAAACTTGAGTGTTTTAAAACCAGCTTTTCTTTTTCTTGATGGAAGCATGGCTGATTCTACAGTACTGCTCGCCTGGCCTATGTCACATTATATTGTTATCCTGTACCTTCCCAATAGCAGAATAACAGATTAGTGACAACATTTCCAAATACACAATGCCTAAGAACAGGATTGTTCTGATCTGTTCATACATGCAAGACACTATGAATGCCCGAGGAAGCACTTGGAAAATGCCAGTTATGGCCAAGGGTCTGCCACATAATGGCAATCTTCTTCAGTAAATCTTCTTCAGTAAATACTTGCAGTACTGCAAGTATAAGCAGTCTATACTCTTTGTCTAGCCTCAGCCAATATAGATGGTGTAAAGGATTGTGGAATCTTAGTCCAAAATCTGGATGAAATTCCATCACATATATCCAATTCAGGCTTCATCTAGGAAGAACTGACTACATATAGCAGTACTAATTCTCAACTTACAGTCACAATTGGGTCCAAAAACTTCATCGTTAAGTGACCTCACCCAATTTTACAACCTTTTCATCATGGTTGTTAAGTGAGACATCCTGTGACTGCTGCTTACAACCTTCTGCTGGTTTCCCATTGACTTTGCTTCTTAGAAGCTGGCTGGGAAGTCACAATCACTGGAGGTTTTTAAGAAGAGACTAGACCACAGGTCGGCAACTTGCGGCTCCGGAGCCGCATGCGGCTCTTTGAGCCTTCCCCTGTGGCTCCCAGCCTCCTCTGCCTTTGCAGAGAGAGACAGAGACAGAGAGAGGCAAATTGCGCTTCTCTCTCTCTCTCTCTCTCTCTCTCTCTCTCTCTGTGTGTGTGTGTTTGTGTTTTTTTTTGTGTGTGTGTGTGTATGTGTAAAAGAGAGTGCACTCACAGTGTTCTCCGAGGAGCTGAAAAGCTTACTGGGCGGAGCTCCTCCCTTTGCTGCGTCTCTGCAGGAAGCAGGAAGCAGGAAGGGCAGGAGAGAGCTAGCTAACCCAGCTAGGCTGACTCAGGAATTCTGGGAGTTGAAGTCCATGAGTCATAAAAGAGACGAGGTTGCTTACCCCTGAGCTTGTTGGACAACAGCTTGAAGCTTGCCAGGTGAGCAGCAGATAGGAGGGGGGGAGAAAGAGAGAGAGAGAGAGAGAGAGAGAGAGAGAGAGAGAGAGAGAGAGAGAGAGAGAAAGGGAGGGAGAGAGAGAGGAAAGAGAGAGAGAGAGAAAGAGAGTGGGGGAAGAGGAGTGGCAGACCAAGGGCAGATAGAGAGGGAGGGAGAGAGAGAGACAGAGAGAGAGACCCTTTTGACATCTAAAATGAAGATAACACTGCATATATCCTTTTTTTACCTGTGTGTGTATGTAATTTTATTCTCTTAAAGCATTCTCCTGGTGATCATT